ATTCCAGAAATATTTTACCGTCTTCATTGATCTTATAATCAACTTAGAAGGTTAATTAGCAATGACATCAAGAAAAAGTTGAACCATTCATACACAGCACACGATGCTCTTCATGATGCACCAAAAACGTTTTTCAAAATCAATCGTTTTGGTGTATCATTATTAGACTTCTTTCGTAGATAGTTCCACCAATGTTTGAATAGTCTAAATGTTAGTCATTGATTAAGCAGTCATGAGAGCAAATTTATTTTTAAGTCGATTCAAACCATGAATTTTTTGACAAAATATTTTCAGAAATCTTCTAACAGCAAGGTTGATTTTTTGACTGTACAAAATATACATGAGTATGTATTAGAATTATTGAATCCAATGCAACTAGAGCAAATATGTCTTGTACACGACGTACAAGATATGAGAGTATAGGATTGATAATGACATTTAAAGCATTTTGGAATAGTATTAATAGTAATGGTAGTGAATGATGGATCAGTAGTACTGTTAGACGCATGAGAATGAAGATGATGAGAGCAAAATGTATTAAGGGCTGATTGAGAAAATGGTGTGTTATATGGAAGATTCGATGAAGAAAAAGGTGAATAACCTACAATGAAACCAAATTAATACATTGTTCTTTTGATTCCTGCGAAGTACAGACCTGTATTATTCCAAAGATCGTTAGATATTTGAGAAGGTTGTGAAGCAACTAACGATGGTTGGTGCATATTCAACAATGAAGTGCTTGTAGAGAAGACAGGATCTGTCGTTAATGTAGAGTGAACTGCTGTCGATGATGAAATTGATGAGACAAATACTGATAATGGTAATGTATTAGAAGATCCGGTTGTCGCCAGTGAATTATGGGTATCCACCAAAAGATCTAGAAAAAGTGGAGCAAACTGTTGATCTATAGTTATAAGTTTCATTTTAATCTTACCATCTTTGAAGGCTACTTTTTTGTTGATTCTCGTCACTTTACGTTTAGGAGTCGACGTCGCTGGAGTTCGTTTTGCTTTTCGTGATTGAATACTCGCTTTAAGTTGTTCTTTTTCTCTCAATTGTTTTAACACCTGTTCGGCGGTCAAAAGCTGTCCGGCTTCCCGATCAAGAACAATTTTTTTTATTGGAGGCTCTTCTGTTGGTGGCGGACGAAAATGACGAAGAGCATTACATATAGCTTTAGTTGGACTAAACGGTGTCGACGACTGTGAAATTTCGATTGTGGATCTAATAGGATGGGATAAGTCTAATGGCGCATTGGTATCAGCTGTAAATGGAATTGTTAACTAACAAAAAATTTGTGGTATTAGCTACTTGACACTTACAATCATGATCCCAAGTGCTGAGATTTATCGGGATTAAGTCGCCTGGCTTATTTTCTTCATCCCGCTCGCCGGTATTTACAGATGCTAAATAAAAAAATAAGATTTTAATAGCCCTATATGTATCAGTTTTTTTCTTACCGCTAAATATTTCTCTTGTGGTTCGTGAATTTCCATGGTGAATGCTGGTAATATTAGCATTAATAGAACCTTCAATTTTTTCGTTACATTTCAAAATTTTTTTCTCATTAATCAAAGTTCTATCCAGCGGATAAATACCAGTGTTCATAAATCCTTTTATCACATTTACTTTTCTAACGGCCGATGATTTGAATAGTTTGGCCGTTAATGAAGGAAATATAGGTTTCGAGACGTTTTTATATCCTGATGTAGAATAATATTCATTTAAAATTTCACGATACTTCTGCTTAATTGGTTTGAAAAACGTAACGTCGAGTGGCTGTAGAATAGTAGTAGAATGTGGTGGTAGCAATAATAAAATAATATTGTGTTCAACAGCTAATTCTACAGTGCGCACACTCTGATGTGAGGTATGTCCATCAAGTAGCAATAAAATTGGCTTCGGTGTTGTTGCCGTTAATGGAATAAACATATTCTTAAACCACTGGAAAAATATATTTTCCTCCATCCATCCATTTTTGCTGGTATTATATCCTGTACCATCCGGGCCTAAATTGAACACAAACGTGAGAAAGAGCAACTTAAGAAAAACATCAGTTACCTTTAGTACACCAGTTACTATATAGTTTAATAGCTTTGTAGATTATATACGGCGGCAAAATAACTCCGCTTGCGCTGACGCAAAATAGTACAGAATTATATGACCGGCCACCGCTTCCACCTTGTTTTTTATAAGGAAATTTGGTTGGACTAGCCACAATGACTTTGCTTGTATCCGTTTTATCCGCAAATCCAGATTCATCACAGTTAAAGATTTGAGAAGGCTTGTCCATTAAGTTGTTGTTCGTGATTACTTCTTTCAAAAGCTTAAACCACCTATCGACTATAGTTGTTGTTATCTTTGCACGAGAAATTTCCAAAGGAAGAGGAGTAGTAGATCTCAATTCAGGATGCCTTGACATGAAGCAATACCACCATTCAACACCAGGTTTTTCACATTGGAATGATTTATATTTTGCGAGTTGTTGTGCGTAGTATGTTGCTATTTGGATTAACTGTCTCGACGTTACGGGTTCGCCCCATTGCTGACAAAATAGAATTAGAAAAGGATTTAAGAATTCTAACATAGAAATGCGACTTACCTGTAAGACAATTACTGCTTTCACTAAATAAGACTCTTCCATCTCGGTAAAATGAGTCGATCTTCCAGCGCCTCTACGAGACACTTGTGCAGAATTATGTTCTTGCAATCTTGAATAAGGAATATTGTATTTTTTTGCTGTAGCACGAATTTGTGCTCCAGCAGACAGTTCTTGAAGAGCAGCTTCAAAGTTATCGTTCTAACGTATTTACGAGGCATAATAATGTGTAAAAGCGAATTGAAGTATGAGAAAGGCGATAATTTCTGCTGATTTTCAATATTTATACTCACCTAGCGTCTTTAATACTTCCCTCAATGATAATTAATCATTGACAGACAAAAATAATCTACAGTTTCGTCATTCTCATCGCAGCGTCTTTCATCGTTTACAAAACTACTCAATTACTGCTAATGAAAAACAGCTGCATAAACGTCAAACTGGACACTTTGAAAATTTAGTTAATCTTCGCTCTTCGATATTGTCATTACTTTGAAAGAAGTCTAATAATGATACACTAAAACGATTGGTTTTGAAAAAATTTTTTGGTGCATCATGAAGAGCATCGTGTGCTGTGTATGAATGGTTCAACTTTTTCTTGATGTCATTGCTAATTAACCTTCTAAGTTGATTATAAGATCAATGAAGACGGTAAAATATTTC